TCACAAATGCAGACATGGTTTTATGTTTACGCGGCGCGATGCAATGTAACGCGTAAAAAGACAGTATAAGTTATTATAATCCGTAATTATGTCCCCACTGGATGCAACAAATGCCTCGTTTATAATGGGTTTTAATGTTTTTGTCTCGTCGCTCCAGCCGGACAAGGCATCACAATATGGCAAGGGGCGTAACATTTCCGTCACATGCTTGAGGTATTTGACCAATCACAACGCACTGGATAGCTGGCCAATCAGAGCACACCTTGCTTTTCAGACCAATGAGCTTTGCAAAAATCGACATGTTTCAGAAAGGTGGGGCATAGAGGAGAAACATTAATGTACAGTATGTGGAAAATAATGTGTTTTTTGAACCTTAAACCGCATAAACACAATTCATTACACCAAATACACAAAATAATGTTCTTTTTAGCAACATCAAATGACCCCTTTAATACAGATACACACATTTTATCATCCGCCAAGCCTGATCAAGTCTAATCACTTTGAAAGGTAACAGCACACCTCTCCTTGATATGCAGCACAATTTGAGTAATCATTCATGCCTGTAGGACAAATTATGCAAATGCAAGCTAAAACCTTATTATAATTAACTATGAGCAATAAAAATAGTGAATCTTGTCTTAGCATTACACTATTAATAACTGTAAACATTTCTTCTAAATTTAACCTCCATCTGTTTCTCCAACTAAATTTGGACTTGCTTAGTATGAATGACCATATCACAGTTTGTTATTCCGGTTTGTCATTTATTTCGCATTTGTACAATCTTCTGAAAAATGATTCCCCTCTGGAGCCCGATTAGTGAGCCAAGAGAAGCCGTGCAAGGTCCATATGGACCTGTCAACTCCACTGCTGCTCTGAGGATGCTTCATAAGCCACTACATGTGCATGAGGTCTTACAAATCTATATCCTCCTGAGACCCAGCTATGGAATTTTTATTGTAGTGGACATTATATTTTAGTGAATTTCTCTGAGACCTCACGTCACAGTTTTAAGTCTGGATGTCCTGTAAAGAGCACATTCAGAGCTTTTCAGAGATACCAAATGTTTGGAAGTTTCTCCATGGCCACTCCCTCTGCTTGGTCTTTATAAATGGCTGACATTAATTTAGTGATAAAATTGTACATCCTTATGGAAATATGATCATATTTTGTAATTATCATTTAAATCGGATTAATTTTCAAATTGTTTGTCATAAATCAACATCTCAGGAAAATGTTATAGGATTTCAAACCAAAATATGACTTCCTGTTATGAAACAGGATATTGATTTCATTACATGTCCACTGTAGAGGACACCAGGACTAAAAGCATGTTTATTATGCCTGTTGGGAGACACAACAAATGAATAGGAAAATAAATGATATATCAATATTCTTATGAAATATTAGATATTATTATGAAAATCTGGCCAATTATTACTCCCATTATTACACTTCTTTTTTCAACATGCTGTCCCAACAGCACATTAATATGCAAATTAGGTACAGTGTATAGATAACATTGTGTTCAATGGGAAAACCAGTTTATGGAAATTTTACACACATATTGCATAAAGTAAAATGGTACAGTATATAAAATCATTTTGTTATATCTTTTATAACATAGTTGAGAATCATCCTTATACAAAGTTTGGTATAAAAAAAATCCTGAAACCTAAAAATTGATTGGTGATTTTTTTTTTTAATCCCATTGTTTTTGCCTTTTCATGTCTATTCATGTCATTTTATTTTTTTAGAAAAACTGTCCTCTACAGAAGACGTAGTATAACATGAATAAAATGTAATTTTTCAAAAATGTTATTTTTCCATTTTTTTCTTATGCTCTAAACAATGTAAGCTTTTTTCTGGTTCTCAGGAGGACATACATACATCTATATAATATAAAGTATATTATATACAAAACATAATAAAACGTAATAATTTAAATACTAAATAACATTTTTAATGAAAAATCTCTCTCTCTATGTGTATATATATATATATATACTGTATATGTATATATATGTATATATAAATAATAAAAAATAATTACATAATATAATGTTGCATTTTTATTTTATGCAATTTAAATATACATTAGAATATTATATTTCTTTACATATAATATAAAAACAAGATATACAGTATAATATATAAAATAGCGTTTCTTGATCCAGTTCTCTCCATAATTTTTTGCCATTGCTCCACTTTCAAAAATTATATATATATATATATATATGTGTGTGTGTGTATATATATATACACACACACACACACAATATATATATGTATATATACACATATTTTTATGTTTTATGCAAATTTAACATAGATAATAATTATACATAAATAGATTTAATATATAATATAAAAAATAATGTCTTGACCCAGTTACCTCCTCTTCTCTCTTTGCTAGTCATCTCCCCACTTTCCTTAACAAAAAAGCATCTACAAAAAACTAAATTTGCTGTTTTCTGGACTGTTTTACCCTTTAAGGTTTGAGGAACAAAGGAAAAAACACCTGTTTGTGTTCTCTGTGACTTTCTGACTTAGAGCATCTGAGAGAGTGATGAAAAAGATGGTGAAAGATACACAAACAGACAGTATCAGTTCTCTCCATCATTTTTTGCCATTGCTCCACTTTCAAAAATTATATATATATATATATGTGTGTGTGTGTGTGTGTGTGTGTGTGTGTGTGTATATATACACACACACACAATATATATATATGTATATATACACATATTTTTATGTTTTATGCAAATTTAACATAGATAATAATTATACATAAATAGATTTAATATATAATATAAAAAATAATGTCTTGACCCAGTTACCTCCTCTTCTCTCTTTGCTAGTCATCTCCCCACTTTCCTTAACAAAAAAGCATCTACAAAAAACTAAATTTGCTGTTTTCTGGACTGTTTTACCCTTTAAGGTTTGAGGAACAAAGGAAAAAACACCTGTTTGTGTTCTCTGTGACTTTCTGACTTAGAGCATCTGAGAGAGTGATGAAAAAGATGGTGAAAGATACACAAACAGACAGTATGCATCAATATTAAACAGATTTAATACTAACTGCTCCATCTCCATCAGCTGCCAAGACACCACTTCACACAGCCGGGGAGACAAGAGAGCAGTCATATAGTTTTTGAGTAGACTTATCAATAATGCATCGTAAGCTTGGTGGAAAACGCCCCCCCAAGCTTCAGCAGTGAGCGGATGACTCAGTCAAACTCAAGCAATCGCACCAAAGGAACAAGTCCTGCAAGACCTTATTTAACCTCCATCACACTGTACATTATTTCAAGCTTTCTTCAAGGTCAATACATCAAAGACCTCAAACTCTGACATTAGGCTTTGTAGGAATCTAAAATCAGTTTGGACAATCCTGTATAATATATCATGACTTTAAACTTCTCTTGACAAAGTAAAGGCACATGCTATGTTAATCCTGTGCAATGAGCGCATATGAGTTCAGTGTGATTAGAACTAATGTATGTTCACATGACAAGCGCCTGGAGAGAGACAGGAAGCACAGGTCTTACTTAATGAAGGCCGGAGGCATGTCTCTCTTCATAATCTTGTCTTCTGTGGTCTGTACTGTCTCCTTCCCCACCTGAGAACACATGTAAAACAAGCTTGTTTACAAGATGCATAATGAGACCATTAAATGCATTTCTATTTTTATGACACCAGCCTCCACTCAAAAAGGTTATACACACTCATAGGGAAAAGATTCAGCCCTCAGACAGACCAGATTGACACAGCTTGTAAATGGAGTCGCTCTGAGTGTCTGGACACAATAAGGGCCTGTGTGTCTTGGATGAGCCCTGAAGCTTATCTACAACTCGCTGTCTGGGATGCTGCCAATACTTCCAACTGTCCAATCTGAAACAACAACCCATGCTGCTCATCTGCCATTATCACACCCAGTTATTGAGTATTTCCAGAATGAACACATCGGAAAAGGAAGATGCAATCAACACATCTACAAACATGTAGTTAAAAAAATTAATAAAATAACAAAAAAATTGCAAAAGAAAAAATGTAAAAGAAGACTAAACACAAAATGAGAAACAAAACAAAACAAAAAAAAGTTAAGGTCTAATAGTTCTAGAAAAAACTACTGGAATTGCTTTGATTTTATGATTTTGCTATGATTTTAATTTAATGTTATACCATGTTATTAAACTCTTTTCTGATTCAATGATTTATTTATTTAATTAATTTTCATAAATCAGTTCAAACTGTCTGTCTCATCGATTCAAATCCCGTCTCTGAGTCACTGAATCACACAAAAAGAGAGATTTTTTTGCTATAATCGCCCAACCCTATCAACCTAATCTGAAACATGATTCTTAAGTTTCCAAGCAAAGAAAAGTGCCCCCAATTCTCTCTTACATCACAGCATAAACACGGTTTGATTTTTAAACCATAACCCCGAGGTGACAAGATATCAGACCACACACACATTGCTCCCATGCACGTGGTCTATTTGCCCTTTCACTGGACATCAGGAATGACATTACAGTGTCCTTCTTTAGAGTCCACTAATGCAGAGATAGCAGCGTAACAGAGAGATGTTTGTTATCTCCACACGGCACATGGCCACTTCCCGCCTGCTCTTTTTTCCAATGATGTAATTACACTGAGGCAGTCACATTCATTTCTATATCCTCCATCTCTGAATCATATTTGAAGAAGATTTTAAAGCTCCCACCAAGCTTTTCATGATCTGACATTTGGAAATATATATATACACACCTTTTATTTGATTGTAGCAAGGAATGACAATGAAGTGAGAAACAGGTCAAACAGACGCAAGTAGTAAATAATAGAGTGCATTGATTCACAGCCGATGACCTGCTAAGGACCATTGATCACATTGGAATGCGCAAAGCATGCAGTTGTGTATGGAGGATGGTGCTTTTGTAGTGCAGAGCGCTCTTTTACAGAGTTCTAATTGGGTGAAGGGGATTCATAAATAAGGCTAACTGGGTTAACTGCTGGGCTAAAGTGGGAACAGAGATCACATATGCACACACAGCAGCCAGTCACAAACATCAACCCTGTGCACGCTGTGAAGAATGCTTCATGGCCTGTTTGGTAGATGTATTTCACAGAATTTAAAGCCTTAAACATGATGTACCCTTCCAAAAAAAAAAACATACAGTCAAACTGTCGAAGAGAGTTGAATACTTGCACTTATTATTTTCAGTGTATCTGAGGCTTATAGTGTCTATTGGTACCCGATATATTGAAACACTCTTCTCAGTGGGGCCTCCACCTTACGTTACTCTTCAGATACTGACCTGCAACCACATTCCACACAGTTATTCTTAGCCCAGTGTCCTGGTCTATAAGGCCATCCGAGGGGCAAGAAGTAATGGTGGTAAATAAGAGCCCACTACCAACTTAGTGTGGGGTTTACAAGCACCAAAGAGTCTAATGCAACCAAAGTGACAGGTGCACAAAATATGTATTTAGAACGATACTGAATTAAGTATCCTATTGCTTCCTGTATCTAAACTCAGATAAGGGAAATGGATTCTTAATTAAATGGTATGTTCACTGATTTTCAACCAGCTTTTTATTGTTACAATGCCAATGGTATAAGTAAATGAAGAATGCATATTATTTTTTCATTTTATCAGCACCAAGATATTCCAGTTTATTTGTCAGCAAATAAATGGTTTTACATCATCCAATGGACATTTTTGACAGGGCTTTTGTGAAAACTACATATTATACATCCAAATTTTTGTATCCTCACTCATGGATAGTCTGATCAGGCCCAACGCATTATGGGTGTTGAAGTTTTCCTGCCTTTTTTCACCAGTCATTTTTCTCTGTTCTCTCTAGTCGTGTGGCACTTATTTAACTAGTACGTTGTCAAAAATGTCTAATTTTGGAAAAAGGGGTGTAAAAGTGCTACAGTAAAAACTTATTAATTGGTTAACTATAAGATACCTTACATATAGAGTGAAAAATATTACATTTGATGGAGCAATATGATAAACATAATAACAAACAACATTTCCAGAAGTCCCAGTGTGAAACATCACATTTGATTAAAATGTATTTTATTATTTTTTTTCCATTTATATACATTAGGTCATTTTGTGTACGATTTTACATTATTATAAAAATATTCATCATTATAAAAATTATAAAGTAAATGTTTATTGGCGCTTTTGAGTGATCTGAGTTATGATGATGATGATACATAGAAGAACAATAACTATTATATCTTAATTATACCTTATTCATTAATTTAATTATATCTTAGGAATCACTTTCAGAGTGATTTTTTTTCCAGTTAGTGAATGTTAGAAATGATGACAGCCAATCAAAATCCACTCTTTACAGGCCTTCATCCTGATGGTTTTGTCTTTGTGTGGGTGACACTATAGACTGTCAACGTTTATTAGCCATGGTTCATGGAAATAGATCATACAATTTTGCTGCTACATTTGATTTCACCACAAATACCTTTTTTATTAGCATTTTAAATGTACTTTTCTTTTTACAGCATAGTGACATGTGGTAGCAGCAGTGCAGCACAAAATCCACCTGTCCAATAATGTGATTTTAACAGGCAAAGGCATGTTTATTTATGACACTGGCACATGATTCTCGACTTCTGGGGAAGTCGTGGCCTAATGGTTAGAGAGTCGGACTCGTAACCCAAAGGTTGTGGGTTCGAGTCTCGTACCGGCAGGGATTGTAGGTGGGGGGGGGGAATGTACAGCGCTCTCTCCCACCTTCAATACCACGACTGAGGTGAGACCCTTGAGCAAGGCACCAAACCCCCAACTGCTCCCCGGGCGCCGCAGCAAAAAATGGCTGCCCACTGCTCCGGGTGTGTGTTCACTGCTGTGTGTGTGCACTTTGGATGGGATAAATGCAGAGCACTAATTCCGAGTATGGGTCACCATACTTGGCCACATGACTTCACTCATTCCTCTAAAGTTCATTTGTGCGGGTGCGGTGTGCGGGTTATACTGGACACATACACACAGTGAGAATGTGACGGCACCTGCAGTAAGATGTCTCTCACTCAGCCGAAAGCAGAGCGGGTGCGACTGCATTCTCTCTCCATGATGGCTGTTTATATAACAAGGCTCCTACTCCTACTCCTACTCATCTGTTGACTGTTTACACTCGAACTCAGATTGATTCCCACAACCTCCGCAAAAGACTTACGACTCCTTTAAAGGGAAGCTCTGCACACACGCTGGCAGATCCATAAAAGGTTAGACTTTATAAACGGCCCCTCAAATGCACATTTGGCACTTTTCGTGATGTTAAACAAAGCATACGGGTAACAGAAAGACAGACTTAAGAGGCATCAATGCATCGATTGGGTACTTTTGATGCAGAATTAATGCAGAGTGCTTATAGCAGTTGTAGCTTCACTAAAAGGCTGTTTGATCTCAGGTGCATTGTCATCTGTTGACTGTTTACACTCGAACTCAGATTGATTCCCACAACCTCCGCAAAAGACTTACGACTCCTTTAAAGGGAAGCTCTGCACACACGCTGGCAGATCCATAAAAGGTTAGACTTTATAAACGGCCCCTCAAATGCACATTTGGCACTTTTCGTGATGTTAAACAAAGCATACGGGTAACAGAAAGACAGACTTAAGAGGCATCAATGCATCGATTGGGTACTTTTGATGCAGAATTAATGCAGAGTGCTTATAGCAGTTGTAGCTTCACTAAAAGGCTGTTTGATCTCAGGTGCATTAGCGCTGTGATAATGGGTTTTGAGAGAGCAGCCCAGGTCAGCAGCAGCTGCTCCTGCTCCTGTCTATGAGGCCACTGTCAGATATCATTAAGGACAATTTCAGCAAACAGGACTGAAGAGGCCGGACTTAAAGAACTTGTTCATTGTGGACGATTACATCAAGCCCAAGTAACTAAGACCTCCATTGAGTCATGTTTTGAGATTTATTATGTGGAGAATGTTTGTCACTTTAGCAGATAATAAAAAGTGATTGACCAACATACAGTATTGGTTCATATTTGACCATTTTGAGGTTATTAGTCAAATATCACTACACTTCATTTCTGTCAGTGACCATTTGACTGATTAACAGAAGTGTTTCTTCATCCTTAGTCAGCTCTGTCAACAACTGAGTAAATATTGTATGAAATAAGGTATTTTTTAAAAGAAATTAATACTTTTATTCAGCAAGGATGTATTCAATTGATTAAAAGTGTCAGTAAAGACATACCATTGCAAAATAATTCTAATTCAAATAATAGAAACTTTGTTGTTCTTTTCAAATTTCTGTTCATCAAAGAATCTTGAAAAAATTCAACATTGATAATGATAAATGTTTCATGAGCACCAAATTAGAATGATTTCTGAAGGGTCATGTGACCCTGAAGACTGGGGTAATGGCAGCTAAAAATTTAGCTTTGCGTCACAGGAATAAATTACATTTTAAAATATATTACAATAGAAAAAAATTATTTTAAATTGAAATAATATTTCACAATATTATTGTTTTTACTGTATTTTGTAACAAAGAAATGCGGCCTTGGTGAGCACAAGAGATTTATTTATTTTTGCCACTCATAACATATTCTCTATAGTCAAGGCTGGATTTATTTTGTGAAGACGTCACAATGGAGACTTGCTTTAAAAAGAATATGCCTGTTTAAAGTACTTGAGGGATTATGGGAGCTGGGGGAAGCAAACTGCAAAGTAGTTTATGCTTGTGTCATCAGTGTAGGTCTTACTATGACATTGTGATAGATCTGTACGCATGACTAGAATTAACTTCAGTTCAACACATTTCAAAGGGCATCACCTCCTCTCACACAATCATTTTATCACTAAGGGAGTTTTCCCTGCGAGTGGCAATTCACTAATGTACTAGAGTTTGGCTTTGGGTTACTAGAAAATGAAAATGAATGAAAACAACAGCAGCAGTTCACATATACTGTAGTTCTGCACTACTGCTGACTCCAAAGAGAATCTAAGAGCTTAGCCATGGATGATATCAACAGCACACATTTACAAATGCATATGGACGGTATGCCAATGGCTCTCTTCCAAAGCAATGTGACAGACTTGGCTGAAAAGACAGACAGACAGAGAGATGGCACTCCTCCATGCCAGACCCCTGATGTCTTCTCCGTTAAGATCCATAAAAAGCATTCAGAGAGAAGGAGATAAAATAACTTAAACAGTTCATATCCAGGTACATCTAGTTGGCTGTTCCTCACTGGCTTCATTCCACCCAGCAATGATCATTAATCAGTTCAAGTTACAGACTAAGACCAAATATGGTTCTGGATTGTATCAATTATATCTAGGCTATATATTCTGCGGAAGCTTGAACTAGTGAGAGTCACCATTATAACAAACAATTACACTTTCAATTCTTTATTGGTCACAATTATAGGGCCATTATATACATATTAGTTGACTAATACAGTATGTATATATAATCTAATCTCTTACCACAATCCCAAAGCGAGAATCTAAACATAGAACAGTCTCCAAGATACAGACCGGTCTTTAGAGTGAGAAGAGATATAAAGCCTCTTCACTCAGCCTTGATTTCGAGGCTTGGCTGATGTGCTGGACACTTCAGCAGTAACAGGTGCCACACATGAGGGGGATGGGATGTGTCTCCACTCTCCAGTGAAGACGCTGATACCTTAGACTTCCTCAAGCCAGCAGGGAGTCACTTTCCCTGCGCATGAAACACCCCTCCAGCCACGCACTGTGAGACTGTGTTACTTCCCAGGCTAGAAGACCTATTTATTCCGGACACAAAATGCTCACTCCCTATTTGTGACTTACTCACGTACATTAGGAGGACTCTTTTTGCATTACTTTACGTAATGACGGCTGGGAGTAAATTATCTTGTTACAAATAAACAAGAAGAAATAGCCTAATACTGAAAGCCCTTCTGACCTTCGCAACACAGGTCCTGCTTCAGTTAAACCATATCCTCCTAGTGAGTGCAGACTGTATGCAACTCGCAATAGAATAGAATATTTAACTACAGGTTTACACTTATTAAAACAAATATGTTTCAGATGGCTGAAGGCATTAAAATACTTATAGGACACATTAAAGAACAGAACAGAATAAATGTTAGCTTGTTCAAATCAGAAATGTTTAAATCAAACTCATAAATAATAAACATGATTCTATACCTTTTCAGTATATAACACATATTACATGTGTTTTCAACTACATACAGCAGTAAACAGAGCACTCTGCCAGCAATCAAATTAATTCTTTAAAATATGTAATGCTTCAATAACAGACTGTTGTTGTTGTAACTTTCTTCAAATAGAGATTCCCTTATTGAGACCAGAGAGGAAGGAGAACATACCAGCAAGGTTCTGTCTGGTTGCTGTGGGTACACTGGGAAAATAATGGTACAAAACTCTTGGAAGTTTCTGGGATTGATGATTCTCTTTTTGATGTTTCCTGGAACTAACAACGTACTTTTCTAAACAGATGAACTCCTTGTACAGAGAAGAATACAACCCACCAATAAAGACTCCACTATACCACAATCCCTTCACCTTTATGATGCAAACTTACAATACTGTAACTACTAATACAGGATAATGCATTTAGGGAACATCTAAAATTATGACAGCATTGGAAAGTTTACAGCATGTCTTTCATGTCAATCATTCAGCTACACTCACTGTCAGCTATTGCATACAACCCTTTGAAACAGAAAAACTAATTTTTTTTTAGATCCAGGAACTTTACTATGTTTTAGGAGAGAAAAAAAGAAATCTGACACTGCCTAACTTCTTCCCTGACACATGCTCTGCCTCAGCCCATCGCCTCACTGACCCATCAGGACCATGTGTTTACATCCCCTATTATTTCCTATAGCCACAAACTAAGAAAGTCATATGTGATTATGAAACCAAACCCAGTATGATCAGTTTACAATTGGTATTTGCAATTCCTAATGCAACACATTTACCCGATCAGACCATGACCCTTCACCCTTCCATGATTAACAATCATTTTCACCAAAATACACAGTGTTATTGTTACTAAAACAAAGCAATACTTGGTGTCAGTCACTGTCATGAAAAAGAAACAAAATGACAAAGTTTTTTACCAAGTAAGGAAAACCTCATATTTATTATGAGATAGCCGCAATAACTGTGGTACCTATTTAGGAAGAAACTGTGGTTACCATGGCCATTTTTTTAAGGGGGGGGGGGGGGGGGGGTGTGACTCTTGTTGATTTTGATTGCTTCCATTGTCCTCATTTGTAAGTCGCTTTGGATAAAAGCATCTGCTAAATGACTAAATGTAATGTTATATATATATACATACATACATACATACACACACAAGACAGTGGACGTCAAAATTAGAGAACAACAATTTCTTAAATTTCAAGGTCACTGCTTAGTCCTATTTGAAATTGTTCTAACAGGAGTAGAAGGCCGTTTTTAAAGCATATTTCATAAATTAATTGTATTCTGAAGCACAGTATAAAAGTTTCTCTCAAACTTACCAAAATTGCATTTTTTTAATCAAAAAAGTAGTAATGTGAAATGTTAAAACAACTGTGTTCTGTTGTAATTTATTTTAAAATGCAATCTATTCCTGTGATGGCAAAGTTAAATTTTCAGCAGTCATTAGCCTACTCCAGTCTTCTGTGTCACCTGATCCTTCAGAAATCATTTTAATATGCTAATTTGCTTCTCAAGAAACATTTCTTATTATTATCAGTGTTGAAAACAGTCGTGCTACTTAATATTTTATGGAAAGTGTGATACTTTGTTTTTCAGGATTCCTTGATGAATAGAAAGTTCAGAAGGACAGCATTTAATTGAAACATTATGAATCTTTACTGTCACTTTTCATAAATTAAATGTGTCGATGAATAGAACTGTTAGTTCTTTTAAAAAAAAATCCTTTCACTAAAAAAATTACCCATACTTTTAGATGTGACCACAGAAGTGACTACTTGCAAACTGTATAACACTGTATAAATTAAAGTGCAGTTATATAGAAAAAAGGCTATGGTGAGACACGGTAGAAATTCTTCATTTGAGGCTAATCATTGGACATTTAATATACTGACCTCGTTTGGTTTAGCTAATACTTTAGATGATGTGTTTAGAGTCAAGAATAAACATTTGGTTAAGGAGAGACTGACTCCTGATAATGAAACACTCAGTTTGCTACCAAAGGGATAGGGCTTGATTTAGACATCTAATGATGTGTTTAGGATATCTACAGGAAAATAATGTTTAAGTATAATCATTATACGTCATTTACAGGTTAGATCTTTCGACAGGTAAGGCTCTATTGTGACTTTGTTTCAGACACCATTCAGTGCTAAGGAAACACAAGGCAACTCTAAGGCTACCAAATAAGGAGGGATTTTAGATGGAGAAGCGCAGAGATGTGCCTTGCAACACTAATAAGGTAAACTGTTTATTAAATAAGTAGCAGCTGTCATTGAACCTTGTAAGTGCAGAGTCACTTGGGGATGCTGCTTGCATATCTAGGATGTTGTCTGCAGTCTCTCAAAGTTCTCAGACTTGACAGGAGAATTCCTGCTTTGGCTGTGCTTTTAAACTCAGAAATGATCCTCAACACAATTGGTGTTGAAACTGGTTGTATTGAAATAGAACAGTGCTGGTCCCATTATAGCCAAGGTGAGTAATGCTGTGTTCAGCAATTTCATGTCATCCAGCCCTACTGCTGACTAGTCCATATTTGCTGCATTTGCCCCATTGGCTGTGATTGCATTGTTTTATCTTTCAAATAAACACACTCACTTAATCACACACCTTTAAACATGCAAATAAACATATACTAGAATAAAAAAAAATGAATCTAAAAACACAAGATGCTATTTGGATGTTTCTCAAATATAATAACGATCATCAGAGTTTACACAAACTTGTGGAGTTCAGGCAGCTTAAGTGCAGTTCAGTTCAGCTTTTCACTCAAATTGTTGTGCTTATAATATAATTTGTAATGAACGCTGTTGAATTTAATTAGAAAATAATGAAAAATTACAGTTTTTTATTAGTGCACTGTAAAAAATAAGTGTAATTTTAACTGTAAAATTTTGTAAAAACGCTACGGGAAAAACTGTAACAACTGCAGAGCACGCCACGGAGGCAGCCATCAGCGTCGGCGCCATTGTGCATTCTTTCTTATGCGTACTGTATTCTTGGTAAGAGGAAGGATATTATGTCTGAGTCTACATACAGTGGGGCAAAAAAGTATTTAGTCAGCCACCAATTGTGCAAGTTCTCCCACTTAAAAAGATGAGAGAGGCCTGTAATTTTCATCATAGGTATACCTCAACTATGAGAGACAAAATGAGAAAAAAAGTTGAAAATCCGTGTTGCCCAGCGACAGCCCAAAACATTACTGCTCTAGAGGAGATCTGGATGGAGGAATGGGCCAAAATACCAGCAACAGTGTGTGAAAACCTTGTGAAGACTTACAGCAAACGTTTGACCTCTGTCATTGCCAACAAAGGGTATATAACAAAGTATTGAGATGAAATTTTGTTATTGACCAAATACTTATTTTCCACCATAATTTGCAAATAAATTCTTTAAAAATCCTACAATGTGATTTTCTGGATTTTTTTTCTCATTTTGTCTCTCATAGTTGAGGTATGCCTATGATGAAAATTACAGGCCTCTCTCATCTTTTTAAGTGGGAGAACTTGCACAATTGGTGGCTGACTAAATACTTTTTTTCCCCACTGTATAGTCTTTGGTAATTCACAACTTCCACCTTTTCTCTCACGTTCCCATGTTTTATTTTGATTTTGAGGCCAACTCTTGCAATTGAGAAACTTTTTCTTCTTAGTTTCTCACTGACACTTCCCCAGAACTCTGATATCATCTTCTTGTACACAACAGCTTGTGGTTCTTCTCGGGAAAGTTCTCAGCAGTTGAAATGCATCTCACCACTAATTCACACCAATGACCATGATATGTTTTCAATATATCAATCAAGATAATACATACATGTTAGGGATGTCCTGATCGGGTTTTTTGTGTCCCCGATCCGATCCGAGTCATTGAATATCGAGTATCTGCCGATACAGAGTCCTGATCCCCAACTTGTATTTTCTTAGTGCTTGGTGCACAGTTTAAGTACATTAAAGATATAAAGTTATTAAAATCAATCCAATTTATACAGGGATGTGCAGAGAGTTTCTCAGGGACAGGGGCTCAAATGTAAAAAAGAATATATATAATATCTAAATAAAAACAATTACTACAGTAATTATACTGTATATATATATATATAAAAAAAAAATTAAAAACACTAACTTCTCTAATCATTTTATATTCTATCTATTTGTTTTCTTTTTATTTATTGTACAATTAAAAGCAAAAAAAGGCCTCTAACCACTAGCTTGCTCTATTCTTTTTCTATTCTATCTGTTTTCTTTTTATTTATTATATAATTTTTAAAAAACTTGCTACGTGTACTGCGTTAGGCTAACTGAGACTTGTTATAGCACTTGCATATCTTTGCTCTCTTGTTGATTTTGATTGCTTCTATTGTCCTCATTTGCAAGTCGCTTTGGATAAAAGCGTCTGCTAAATGACTAAATGTAATTATATATACATATATACACACACACACACACACACACACACAAGACAGTGGACATCAAAATTAGAGAACAACAATTTCTTAAATTTCAAGGTCACTGCTTAGTCCTATTTGAAGTTGTTCTAACAGGAGTAGAAGGGCAGTTTTTAAAGCATATTTCATAAATTAATTGTATTCTGAAGCACAGTATAAAAACTTAAATGAGATATTTGAAAAAGAGCTCTGGTCAACAATAGAGAACACTTACAGATACCTCCAAGTTCTTGGTGTTAATCTGGCACCTAGTGCCAATTTCCTTAATTATATGACAAATCCTATTTAACTGGCAGCATTCCTCTAATTTTCACTGAGATTGCAAGATGGCGGGCCGCTCTATTGGTCATTCCAAATCTGTGATTTCTAGAATATTTCAGCTTTACAATGACACTAATTCATTCAAGTCCCCCAAAAAGGCTGGTCGTCCACGTAAGACAAATGCAGGAGAAGACAGGATAATGCAGAGACTCTCAATGGGGAATGGGGAATGCAAATGTTTATCAGAACCTCCTTCAGCAATATGCGGTACCTTCTTGAAAGCATCTCCCAATCAGCCTGCAATTTTCATGCAAGACAATGCCCCATAACACTGCAAAATGGATAAAGCAGTTCCTTAAAGCGAAGAACACTGAAATAATTAAATGGCCGGGTCAGAGTCCTGATTCAAACCCAATTGAAAATCTCTGGAAATTCCTTGGCGACAAATTTATGGCTAAGTAACTCACCACAGTTACCGAACTATGGAAGAGACTGGAAGAAGAGTGGACCAAGATCACACCAGAGCAGTGTGAGAAGAAACTAGTGATGTCCTGCAGCTGCAGATGTGCTAAAGTCCTCTACACTCCTACTAATTTCTGACAGCTGCAACCCTCCTAAAAAAAAAATTAAAAACACTAACTTCTCTAATCATTTTATATTCTATCTATTTGTTTTCTTTTTATTTATTGTACAATTAAAAGCAAAAAAAGGCCTCTAACCACTAGCGCAGCTGCAGATGTGCTAAAGTCCTCTACACTCCTACTAATTTCTGACAGCTGCAACCCTCCAAAATTTTCATTGTAATCTTCTTTCATGCTACAGTGGTTGTTCTCTAATTTTGATCACTGTTTTCCACAAAATAATGTTTTTTTTTTGTTGTTGTTGAAATTTTCTGGTTATTTTGCAAAACATGTTAGTAGAACAGTGGTATACCCACAACTATTCCTTAAAATTTTGATTGATGAAGATAAAAAATATTTCGGAAAATGTTTTGGTATTTATAGATTGTTCTCTAATTTTGATCTCCACTGTGTGTGTGTGTGTGTGTAGGAGAGACCGGCTAATTGTCACTAACTAATATTTCTCAGGATTGGTTTATTTTAACAGTCAATTTCTGTATAAACTCATACCTTAAAGTCTTGGCTGTAAAAAGGACATTTCCTTCATTATTGACTATAGGAAAAAGGATCATGCTGACCTTTTGTGACAATATTCCCAATTTTACCATACAATATTTAATTACAATTAGTTTAATGGAACAAGAAAGTTTAGATTCCAAAAAAAAAAAAAACATTGAAAGAAAGAAAACAAGGAAGACATTTACTGTTCTTCCATGTTCTTCCAAACCTGAAGGACTTTCTTTCTTCTGTAGAACACAAAAGAAGATATTTCAAAGAATGTTCTCATTATAATGAAACAGCATTGGTCCCCACTGACTTCTATTGTATGGAGAAAAATAAATCTCAAAATACAGAATATCTTCTTTTGTACTTTTGAACTATCCCTTTAAGGAGGCAGATGTGCACGTACTGCTAGACCATGCCTATATTTGAATAATTTTTGAAAAAATATTGCACATCATTGAGACTAACAGATAAATAATAGATGAACTAGTTAATAAATGCTTAAAAAGAATGGAAAAGGATATGAGTGAGAATTCATCAGTTGGTTGTAATTTAAAGGAATATTTATGATGATGCAAAATGAATGAAGGAAAATGTGAAGAGATTTAAAGCAAGTTTAATGTCAAATAAAATGGTGTATTAATACAATGGTGTATCATAAAAATGGAAATAAGGAGAATTTTGTATTAAAGTAAATGACTGTTTTACAATCAGAGATGTGTATATATATATATATATATGCAAAAAAAAGGTAGATATAAATAAATAAATATGTTCATCATACATATGGTCGTGCAATAAATTAAATATTAAATAATACATTATAAATAGTAACAATAAAAAAAAAATGAACAAAAGAGATAATGCACAGTCATAAAACTGATTAAAAAATCTAACTATCTGGAACACTACTCCTTCTTTATATATATATATATATATAATTCTATCTATATATTTATTGCACAAACTGGACCAATGGCCATGTCATTAACATCAATAATTTTAGATCAACTTGTTCAGTCGTCATTCTATATATCCTTCATATACCTGGTATCACTATTCAATAAATGCAGGAACATGTAATAACACTGTCAAAGATTATTCCTATTGATTACAGTAGCTGCCGTATATAATCATAAATCATAAATAATCATAAGCATAAATAATTGGCACATATTCTGCACTGAATATAACATTACCCTGAGTGGCTAAGTATCTGAGCAACGGTCACATTTCTGTTGTAGAGTGACCCTGTCATAATTAATCCTTTTGTGGATACCTGGAGCCTGCTGTATATTTGGGTAAACCAGTATGCATTGAGATCCAGTTGTTGTAGTTGGTGATTTTTGTGTAAACTCCTGGGTTAAACTTTTTTGAACACTCTTTTCCCCAGCTAATGATACCGAATAGGAA